TTACTTCATGATTTTACACTCCTTTCCCACCTTTTCTAATTTTTCACAACTGATCCCAATAACGCTACAGGATTAAAATATTGTTTTGAAAACTTTCAGATAATGGTTGAATTTCGTTTAAATTATCTTTTAATTATTCTTTGATGTAAGATTAGAAAAAGTTTAAGGAACAGTAAAATAACATTTTTTAAACGATTAATTAACGTTTGCATAACGCTTTAAAAGTGCTAAAATAATATTTAAATAAAGTTTAAGTAAAGTTCGAAAAACAGGTAAAATCTTTTATGACTAAAAAACGTGTTAAGACCGTTTAGAAATTGTTAGAAAACGTTTTAACAACGTTAAAAACGTAATAAAAAAAATGTTCAAGGTTTAAATAATTAAGGTTTACCAGCAGAAGTATCCCCCGCCGTTGATCCCTCCAAGGGGAGAGGTAAACGCTGCAGATGCATTCGACATTGGATCCTTTGATGAAGAGGATACCAAAGGTTGGTTTCATTATCTGTTGAAATAACTTTTTTGGGTTTCATTTTTATTTTATTTATTTTGTTCAGGAAGAGGGTACAAAAAGTTATCAGATCCCCACCATTTCTTGATTTTCAGTTCATCGGTTTCTTGGGTTTTCTGGCATTCTCAAACCCTTTGATAATTGATTCTTTTCATTAACTATTTTGGTTTCATTGGATTCTTGTTTCTTTATTTCTTTGAGAAAAAAAAGTTACAAAAACTTTTTGGTGGGTTTCAATGTTTCCCGGATTTCTAAAAAAATTTAGTTTTTCCTGATTGAGATTTTTCATTCTATTGTTGGTTAGTTTCTTTGTTAATTCCTTTGTTAAAGATAATAAAATACAAAGTTTTGTTTTTAAAACTTTTTTGGTTTCGTTATTTTTTATTTTCTTGGTCTTTTTGCTCATAAATTCCTTTGATCCTTGATTTACTGGTTCCTCAATTCCATTGATCCTTGATTCATTGGTTCCTAAATTCAATTGATCCTTGATACACTGGTTCCTCAATTCCATTGATCCTGGATTCATTGGTTCCTCTTTTCCATTGATCCTTGATTTACTGGTTCCTCAATTCCATTGATCCTTGATTTACTGGTTCCTAAATTCAATTGATCCTTGATTCACTGGTTCCTCAATTCCATTGATCCTTTATTCATTGATTCCTCAATTCCATTGATCCTTGATTTACTGGTTTCTAAATTCCATTGATCCTTGATTTACTGGTTCCTAAATTCCATTGATCCTTGATTTACTGGTTCCTCAATTCCATTGATCCTTGTTTTACTGGTTCCTCAATTCCATTGATCCTTGATTCATTGGTTCCTCAATTCCATTGATCCTTGATTCATTGGTTCCTCAATTCCATTGTCCTTGATTTACTGGTTCCTCAATTCCATTGATCCTTGATTCATTGGTTCCTCAATTCCATTGATCCTTGATTTACTGGTTCCTCAATTCCATTGATCCTTGATTAACTGGTTTCTCAATTCCTTTGATCCTTGATTATAAAAAATAAAAATAGATTTATAGTTCCTTATTTCCTTGACTTGCTTCTTCAGTTCTTTTTTGGTTCCATGGTTGTTTTATGTTTAGTTTGGTATTTTTTCACTGCTATTGTTTTCCAAGTTTCATAGTTTGTTTGTTCTCTTGTTTCAGGGCTTTGATTCGATGTAAAGGTTTATGTTTTAAATCTTCGTGTCTCATATTTTATTTCCTAATTAATTAAATAAATATTTATTTCCTAATTAAATAATATGTCTGGTCATCTTCCTATATTCTGTAAGTTTGATATGGATCAAAGCAACCCTTCCGTGGTAGATATATAGTTACGAGAGGTTGCTCTTTTCCGAAGCAGAAGTGGGGGTCAACTCGATAAGAAATTGTTGCTATTTTAATATTTTAGAAACCTTAAATATCTCTACTTTATGACTTCTTACATTTACATATTGTTGCAGGTGGCTGAGACTGTATTTGACACAATCAATAACGACTACGACAAGAAGGAACAGAACAGACGGAAACCAAAGGTAATAACACAAGAATTATGCGATCAATTAATCAAAGAATGTAAAAATCAATCGAAGAATCAATGATTAACTATTTCAAATGAATTGATAAATAACTAAAATTAATTATAATATAAGTCAAGGAATGAATGATGAACTAAAAAATAAATCAATTAAACGATGAACTAATAAATTCCTATGTTTAAATCCAACTAAGCAATGAACTAATGAATGAATATGTTTAAATCTAACTAAGCAATGAACTAATAAATTCATATGTTTAAATCCAACTAAGCCATAAGCTAATGAATGAATATGTTTAAATCCAACTAAGCAATGAACTAATGGATGAATATGTTTAAATCCAACTAAGCAATGAACTAATAAATTCATATGTTTAAATCCAACTAAGCCATAAGCTAATGAATGAATATGTTTAAATCCAACTAAGCAATGAACTAATAAATGCATATGGTCAAATCCAACTAAGCAATGACCTAATGAATGAATATGTTTAAATCCAACTAAGCAATGAACTAATGAATGAATATGTTTAAATCCAACTAAGCAATAAACTTATGAATGAATATGTTTAACTCCAACTAAGCAATGAATTATTGAATGAATATGTTTAAATCCAACTAAACAATGAATTATTGAATGAAAATGTTTAAATCCATCTAAGCAATGAATTATTGAATGAATATGTTTAAATCCAACTAAACAATGAATTATTGAATGAATATGTTTAAGTCCAACTAAACAATGAATTATTGAATGAAAATGTTTAGTCCAAGTTTGGATCAGATGAGAAGGAATCTGATATTCTACTTTATGGTTACCTCAAAAAATTGGTGAGTAAATATTAATAAAGGGATTGTTCACGATTATTAACTAAGCGATGAAGGGATTTACATCCTCCAGACTGAGCAATGAAGGGATTTACATCCTCCAAACTGAACAATGAAGGGATTTACATCCTCCAGACTGAGCAATGAAGGGATTTACATCCTCCAGACTGAGCAATGAAGGGATTTACATCCTCCAAACTGAACAATGAAGGGATTTACATCCTCCAGACTGAGCAACACCAGGACTAATATCATTTAACTTTTTATAACTATTAAAGCCATGAGAATACATGTCAAATTTATTTTTTTATTTGACTCGAATTATACTTAATATACTTTCCCTTTTCTTTAAAAAAAACATTGTTTTAATATATGGTTGTTATATCCTTTTATAATTATAGCTAGGCTTATGGTAGAATTGGTCTCCCACCTGATATTTTGCTCTTAATGACAAAATTCAAATAAGACATTCTTTCAAACAATTATTGTCATTTTCTTAAATTTTTACTCAATCTCGCAGGAATCTAGAAACTGTTTTTTAATGTCGTCTTTATATTTCTAATATTCTCTTACCCTAGTGTTTGTTTAGTCTGGATGATGTGGATTGTTTCTATAGGATGGTTAACAGTGGACATTTTAAAATTTAATTATAAATAGTCTGTATTCTAGATTTGGATAAATAGAGTGCTCCCAATTTTAAATTGAAATGTTTAAGTATCAAAAAACACAACAAAATTTATATCATTTTTTTTTTTTTTAGCAGTTTATTTACCAGGTGTTTACGTGTGACCTTAATAATTATATTTACGATTATTTTTGTCGGAGGCTCAGCAGTCAGCATAATGTTTGTTTGACATTTTTTATGTTTTTTTTAAAATATTAATATTTGTTTCCCTAGGGTGGTCCGTTTGCACAGACCTGGCAGACACGATACGCCAAGCTATATCCCAATAGGTATTTTATTCAAAGCAGGGTGTTTCAAAGGGACGACTTGTAGTTCGTCTTTTGTCTTTGCGGCGTTTTTCAAACATTAAATAATGGATATGTTAATAAGCCTTAGGCTTTGGATTTCTTAAGAGTGGTATGTCATTTATTTATTTATCCAGATTTGTAATAATAGGGTAAAACATATTCATACCAAACAATCTACGACAGAAAAATTTGATAAGTCAAACAAATTGAATTTTTTCACTACTCAACGGGATTTGTTTTTGTAGCTAGATTAAAATTAAATTTTTTCTAAATTTCTGAAGTGATAAAAATAAACAAAATCAATTTCCTTGTAAAAAAAAATTGTTAAAAGAACTTAAAAACGCTAGAAAATTTTCTCAGAAAATAAAACCAATTAGTTTTTTCCACTTTTTAATGAAAGAAGTTTTAAATTATTGTTAATTATAGTGAATCAGGGGTATCAAGGGGTACGTATTTTCTTCAAAAATCAATTATCCTTTATTACCCTTTTTGAAAATAATTTTCCCCCCAGAATGAATGTAATTTCACTTAGCTTTTCCCGAAATTCTGAAAATTTTGCAACGTTAAGTTTTTTGAAAATCATTAAAAAAATTCCTAAATTTTCACCTGGTCATAACTTAGCTGAACTAATAAACTGTTGTACAGGGTCTCCCACAAAACTTGAAAGTTGAGAGAGCCGACATGAAGGTCGTCTTTGATTTTTGAAATAATTTTCGGTATTGATTTGTGAACCTACTAACCATGTATGATATTTGAAACAATTATCATAAAATATTTCATTTTGTGATTATTATTAGGTGACGTTAAGATGCCGCAAATTATTACAACTTCCAAACTTAAACCTTAGCTCAACTAAAAGCCTGTAATTAGCATAGTGCTCTAACCTAGCTAAACTTATTTAGGCTGGAACTACATTCTGATAACAATAAGCCAGAGTTGATATTTATGGAGCAAATTGAAGATGTCAATACAGAACTTCAACAGGTCAAAGGGAGTGTTCACCACAATTTAGAGGGGGGTAGAACAAAGGATCTGATTCAACAATAGTATTGTATTTCTGTCCTATACCCTCTTTTTAAATTAATCAACACTTGTTTTAAATCGCTTTATTACTCAACTTGATTTTTTTTTCAAGTTTTGAAATTGAAATTCACCGTTCAGGGCCAAATTATTGTTTAAAACTTTTCTTACTTTAGAATAAGTAAATTACAAGAGCTTGATACTTGTCCCTTATATATTTCACTTCAAATATTTTATATTTATATTTAATTTTGGTTTCCCATTAAGTTTATGTTTTAGGTTAAAAGTGAACAGAGTATCATTCTGCGGACTAAAGAGGGTAAAATCGTCCTCACCAACTCGGACGAAATTGGGCTAAAAGAATGGTCAATGCAGCTGTTAAAAACCCTACGGGACTCCAAGGAGCTTCTTTCTGGCTTGAGAAAAGCGGGAAAAATTTACGGAACACGAGACGGTAGTTTACCTACAAACTAGAACAATCCACCGCGGCATTCGTGAACATGATTTCCCGCGTCTTTGCAAAATGTTTATAAAGATGGCCGATAGAAAAGACAGTTCAAATAATCTATGTCAATAATTAGGTTCCCTACAGTCAAATTTGTGCTTCCCCCTTTCCTCCCCCCCCCCCCCCATCCCATCCATTCATCCTAAATTCTCTAGTTGCCTGTTTTTGTGCCAAAATAGTTGTTTGTTAGATTTTCACCTTCTAAAATTCATATTGTTTTTCAAAAACAATCAAGTCTTACATAAACTTAATATTCTTAAACTTTCCATTTTTCCATTTACAAATGTAAAATAATTCCTAGCTTTAATCCAATGTATCAATTTACACTTTTACAAAGCAATATGTACTTTTATGAGTTATGACGATCTGTATGTTAACGGCTGGCTGATTAGACTGTTACATTGTGGGTTAATCAATCATCCAGTTAGTCGGTCAGTTAGCTGATCTATTAAGTTGGTCTGTTTGAGGTTCCGTCAGTTTGTTGGCTTAGTGATGATTGTGTCGGTGGGTCAACCTGTCAGCTGCATAGTAAAACAGTCAGCTTGTCAGTAAGTCCGTTAGTGGGTCAGCTAGTCCATTGCAGGTCTGCTAGTCTGCCAATCCCAATCATTATTATTTATGGTCCCTCATGTTCAAATGAAATATTGTCTTAAGATTATTGGTTTCAGACTTTTTAAGCCGACATTTTTGATTTGGAACTATATTGGTGATTAGAGAACGAATATCACTTTTCTGGGTTGTTAAGATAAATTGAGTCATAGAGACTTAACTTTGTTCAATTTTAATTGCCCAACATGCATTGTTCATTATTGTCACAATGTTTTTTTGCGTACTTCTTTGACGCACTTAGGTCCCTGTGGGTGATGGGTGAAAATTATTTTACCCTCTTCGATCCCTTTACCCAGAGAACTTCATGCTCCAGCGCATAACATAATGCTCAGAAGACGTTAATCCAGTTAATCTGGATCCGTACTGGATTTGTATTACTGAAGCCAAATCTACCAGATTTGGATTTACTAAAGCAGATTCTACTGGATTTGGATTTACTGAAACCGGATCTAATGGATTTGAATTTGCTGAAACCTGATAATTTGGATGTACTGAATCCAGATATATTGGATTTGGATTTACTGAAGCTGGATCTACTGGATCTGGATTTACTGACGCTGGATCTACTGGATTTGGATTTACTGACGCTGGATCTACTGGATTTGGATTTACTGACGCTGGATCTACTGGATTTGGATTTACTGACGCTGGATCTACTGGATTTGGACATCTTGTTTCCATATCTTTAACACTGCTTTTTTTGCATCTCAATCTTTGCTATCAGTGCAATCACAAAAGCTTTCAATTGGTTGCGTGACTCGGTTCTACCAGAACTTCTCCACTTATTCATTTTGATGATTTATCATTCTTTGAAATGCGCCATTCGTTTTTTAGTGCTTCAACTTAATATCCTGTTGTATTTGAAAAATGAGAAGTTTAGAACTTGAGATAGTTAGAAGATGTTATTATTATCATCGATGATTTCATGTTGTTCATGCAAAGCAAATCATTTTTATGGTTAAAGGATTTTACGTGAATATGATGATTAAATTGGGTTTTAAAAAAGTTAAAGGAAAAATATATTAAGTTAGTAAAACTCTTCGATTTTAAAATTTATAGACTACCAAAGAATGAAACCACGTGTATTTTACCCTAGGTAGCTTTTGGTTAATAACAATAATAATATATCAAAATTATGTAATCCAGAATTAAAACTTCATAAATTTATATTATCTGAAATTTTCAGAAACAACAGAATTTAAAAAACACATGTATGATGTACTCAGTGAACAGGTGTATTTAATTACGAACTGTACAATGTACATGCTTAAATAAGAACTGAGTTTTATGGACAAGTTTTTTTAGGGGGGGGGGAGAATAGAACTAATTGACTTAATACTGCCGATTATCAATAAAATAGTAAACTATTTTTTAGCTAAGTATTTGTTTTCACCTCAAAGTTAAAATGATAAAGAGAGATGTACGTTATTATCATTCATAATTTAGGGCATTTTATTGTACTGTCATTCTTATATATGTACATTGTACACTGTACAGTGAGAGTAGCAAGCTCCACAGTTTATTTATCAATTCACATTTTTAGAAAAGTAGAATTCCCAATTTTTTATGTGGAATTTTCTTAGTTAACGGTTGTACATTGTGCAAATCCCTTTTTATTAGACATGTATGTATTTCTTACCAATTCCTACACTGTTCAAAAATAACCTTAACGTTTTGTCCGTAATATCTAACTAACGAAAGCATTACAAAAAAATAACGATGTTTAATTTAAAAATGAACCTTACATTAGCAATATTTCACATTTTTTTGTATTGCTAACATTCGTTCATAGTTTTAAACATACTGTTCGTTTAATGTTTTCGAAAGTTTGAAATTGTGAAGAATATTTGCTGATAGTGTATAAAAATCTAGTCACTTCATCTTTAGTCCTAAAAGATATTAAAAATAATGTTCTCTCTTATCAGTCCTGGTAAACTAAAACTTTATTTAAATTAACAAAAAAGCGAGTTCGCCATTTTGAAATTTTTGGTGGAAGATTTTTCGCATTGGTGAGGAGCGAAAGAGAGACATGGTCCACCATATTGAGGGGGGGGAGGCATTTAGGAGTAAGGAATTAAATAAAGGGGCGATGTGTGATTTTACATGACAGATAAAAGTTGTCCCGATTTAAATATAGCCTAGCTTTAGTTCTATAGTACCATGACTACCAAAACTATCAAGATTCCCTGATTTTTATCAAGATTTTTAATGATATGAATCAAGATTTCATGATTTGTATCAAGATGTCATGATTTGTATCAAGATGTCATGATTTGTATCAATCATGATTTGTATCAAGATGTCATGATTTGTATCAAGATATCATGATTTGTATCAAGATGTCATGAGTCGTGTAATGAATTTGAGTCATATCATGACTCGTAAAAAGCTGTATATGTATTTGCATATACAATTGAAAATTACAGGACACAGCGCCCCTTTATTTGCACTTACTCATTTATGCTCGGCCTGAAAGAATTTGGTCAAACCCGGTTTTTTTCATTAAAATGGCGTCCAAACTCTTTCGCGCCTTTTTGCGTGGCATTAACTAGTGATTTATACTTAGACAAGCACCTACCATCCATACTCTTATTTGTCAGTATAATTATATATATATATATGTATTATGTATTCAATAATCATTATCTTATCAGTGTCATATTTTGATCATTTAAAGTTTAGACTATCGACACCCCCCGTTCAGTGTTCATTATTATAGATGTTTTTATTGTTGTTTACAAAAAATAAATAATTCATCTTGGAACATTTATTTGAGAGTCGAGATCACTGTTATACAACAATTAAGGATATTTTAAGAATTTTTTTCCAATATAAATAAAAACAAATGTTTTTATATCTAGAAATAACCACTTATTAGGAGAAAACATCGTATGCACGATTCGATAGTAACAAGATTCATTAACCTCAGCTTAGGCTGAGGGGCCTGATAAGCACTAACATTGGCCATCTTTTTTGCTTTAAATTTAAGCAATTTTCGCATTTTTAAGCATATTGAACAGAATTTATAGATAAAGAACAGAATCAAACAGAGTGGGTACAATGAGCCCAATATGCAACAAAAAGTCCATCTGTTATGTGAAAAAAGACAATAATATTCGTTTTTTTTCAGGAAAATTCGCAACTTTTCTGTTGAAGTTCCTTAAAGTCATTTTTCTGGATCCTTGCGCAGGGTTTCCAATCGTAATGTTTGCACGAAATTTTTATGTAATTTTGTATTGATGCGCAAAAGCTATTTCGCGCAAATTATGAAGAAAATCTTGGTTTTTGCGCACTTCGTTAGTTCTGCTATTTCGTTATCTCGAGCTATTTCGTTGAGAAACAAGATAGACAAGTAGATAGACAAGTAGATAGACAAGTAAATAGACAAGTAGATAGACAAGTAAATAGACAAGTAGATAGACAAGTAAATAGCCAAGTAGATAGACAAGTAGACGGACAAGTACATAAACAAATAGACAGGGAACTAGACAGTCAAATAGATACACAAGTTGATAGAAAAATAAATAGACAAGTAAGTAGATGGAAAAGTAAATAGACAAGTAAATAGACAAGTAGATTGACAAGTAGATTACAAGCAGGTTGACAAGTATTGACAAGTAGATAGACAAGTAAATAGATAAGGAGATATACAAGTAGATAGACAAGTAGATAGACAAGTAGATAGACAAGGAGATAGACAAATAGATAGACAAGTAGATAGACAAGTAGACAGAGAAGTAGATAGACAAGGAGATAGACAATTAGATAGACAAGTAAATAGATAAGGAGATATACAAGTAGATAGACAAGTAGATAGACAAATAGATAGACAAGTAAATATACAAGTAGATAGACAAGTAGACAGAAAAGTAGATAGACAAGTAGATAGACAAGTAGACAGACAAGTACATAGACAAAAAGACAGGGAACTAGTCAGTCAAATAGATAGACAAGTAGATAGAAAAATAAATAGACAAGTAGATAGAAAAGTAAACAGACAAGTAAGTAGATGGAAAAGTAAATAGAAAAGTAAATAGACAAGTAGATAGAGAAGTAAATAGACAATTAATAGACAGGGAGATATACAAGTAGATTGACAAGCATTGACAAGTAGATAGATAAGTAGATAGACAAGTAGACAGAGAAGTAGATAGACAAGGAGATAGACAATTAGATAGACAAGTAAATAAACAAGTAGATAGACAAGTAGATAGACAAGCAGACAGACAATTAGATAGACAAGTAAATAGACAATTAAATAGACAAGTAGATAGACAAGGAGATAGACAAGCAGATAGACAATTGGATAGACATGTAAATAGACAAGTAGATAGACAAGGAGATAGACAAGTAGATAGACAAGTAGACAGAGAAGTAGATAGACAAGGAGATAGACAATTAGATAGACAAGTAAATAAACAAGTAGATAGGCAAGGAGATAGACAAGTAAATAGACAAGTAAATAGACAAGTAGATAGACAAGTAGATAGACAAGCAGATAGACAATTAGATAGACAAGTAAATAGACAAGTAGATAGACAAGCAGACGACAAGCAGACATACTTTTTGTCCATGAACTATAATTTAATGATTTATTTTTTTTTTTATTTCAGAATTTTCAAGACATTTCCTGTTCCGATAAATTCTAAATAAAAAGTTGAAATTAAAATTTAAAGATAANGATGATTACTTTATAGCACCGTGCTATTATAATATTCAGTTAATTTAACATAATAGCACGATGATTACTTTATAGCACCGTGCTATTATAATATTCAGTTAATTTAACATAATAGCACGATGATTACTTTATAGCACCGTGCTATTATAATATTCAGTTAATTTAACATAATAGCACGATGATTACTTTATAGCACCGTGCTATTATAATATTCAGTTAATTTAACATAATAGCACGATGATTACTTTATAGCACCGTGCTATTATAATATTCAGTTAATTTAACATAATAGCACGATGATTACTTTATAGCACCGTGCTATTATAATATTCAGTTAATTTAACATAATAGCACGATGATTATTT